TTGGACTAGCTTTCCAACGCTTCGAACCGTGCGTCATTCTGAGTTACGGTTCTCCCGTTACGACAAAAATACCAAAACAACATTCTTCTGCCCAAGACATCTTCGCTAGGCGAAGGACCTAGCGAACTTGACAGTCCGAAATTCTATTTTCGACCGTTACCCGACTTCCGGGTGTCCGATTTCGATCCCGTAAAAAGATGCGATCTCGGAATTCAACGTACAACACCAATTTCACACTTAGGAAGTCATTCAACACATTTACAATTTTTGAAATATTTTAAAACTCAGTTATACCAATATTGCATTCCACATCTGACCTTCTTTAATAATCATCAGAAGTCATCGTCCCCCTTTAATATACTCGACCTCACAATCTGTTGCCTTAGCACACACACCAGACACAAGCCTCAAAACTACTCAATTCAATTGATTCTTCGACCATCCAAACAGACATATAATATGGAGCTCTCAATATCGGACTAGTTCCCGTAACTAAGTCGATCATAACTCCACTTCACGTCCTGGCTGTATATCACAATCTTGTCAGAATAACTTCCAGACAACCACAATTAATCGAAAAACCACCAACTTCCCCACTTTCATCAACACTCACAGTTCCCATCAAAATAAACATCTCGGCATCATCCTACACCGACTCACCAAAATAATTCTAAGCATTGAGCTTAACTTAAAACAATTCACTACTCACGCCATCTAAGCTTGCAAGACACACCTATCCCATCTAACATAATCCCAACTACTATCAACAACAGATTAAGGCTGATCAGTTCCTCAATTTGTCAATAGACAGCCGAAAATCATGATGGGGTATAAACCATATTTACCAAACTATAAGAACGTTCAACCATACACTGAGCTACAACTCTACACTTGCAACATCCTGAAGAAGCACATCTTCTCCCCCACTTGTTTCATTCCCACTTCTGCAGACAAAGGTTAGGCAACAAACATGTACCGACATTGTTTTCACACACATGTTGCATACCAGGGAACAACAACATTAGACAACTTGGCCGGACAGACCGACCTGCTCTGATACCACTAATGTAACACCCTTATTCTACCCCACAGATAAATACGGTAATATAACACGTAAATCAGAGTGAATAATTAAATCTCATTAAAAATTCCACGAAAGGGCGTACTTTCTCGAATTCATCAAAATTGGTCAATACTCCGTAACACACGGGTTTTCTTAAAATACATCAAAACATCATATACAGCGGAACTCAAACATAACTCAATGTTTTCCTCATAAGGGAACGTCAGTAAAATAACCCAATAATATAAAATCAACTCAAAGAACCCAACCCGATGTTACATATCAGAGCAAGACCCTCTACATTAACCATAAAAGCTAACGACTCTAAAACGTCACAATACTCCTCGACGGCGTCCACGACTAAACTTGATCATCTGCACGTTACCCACGTGGAGGTAACATTCAAACAGGCAGGGTGAGTAAGACAATTCATAATAATCAATGTATAACAATTAATGCATAAACGACATATTACTCATAGTTATATTTAACACATTGATATCATTCAAATATGCCTCAAAGGCCACAACGTCATAATTTATACACAAACGCTCATAAATGCAAATGCAACATAGACTCAATGCATGTGGTACCAATCATCACAACACGATGGACACTGGGCCATCAACCCTCCATAGATCCCCATCAATAGGATCAGAGCACATCAAAATACTTCACATCCGCACAGTGGGATTGAAGCCAAAGTAATCGAGGTCCTAAACCGAAGTCCGGATGCAAATGAATGCATGATGCACACGTCACAAATCATCCTCATAATAACATCATAGGTGCATCATCATTCATCATATTCATCATATTCGTCATATTCATCATATTCCTCATATTCGTCATATTAATCATATTCATCATCATCAAACGTCATAGCTCATCAACACAGTCATCATCGTACGTTACGTCATCATAACTCGTTATAATAATCATCTTCATACTTCATATCTCATCATAATAATTATCATCACCACATAAATCATCGTATCTCACATAACTCATCATAATAATCATCGTCAGCACATAAATCATCATATCTCATGTTATCACATAATTCATCATAATAATCATCATCATCATCACATAAATCATCATAATTCATCAAACATCATATCATCATAATTCATCATAATAATTAATCTCACACATCATGTCATCATATAATCACATACAAATCACATATTAGCTCATAGTCATATTATCATATATTATCCCATATTAGTTCATAATACTACCCAATATTATCTCATATTAATTTATCAAATTATACTCGTGGTAATCCTCACACTATCGCCCATCAATCACATAAACTTCACATTCCTACTCATGTTAATTCATCATATTATCACAGTTACCCCCATGGTAATTCATCAGAAAAATCGCAGCATCAAAACATCAAGATATCACTGAACCAGAACATGATTCGTTACTAGAACATATACCCAATTGAATTCTCAAACATAATTAGATATAAAAATATTGGGACACCAATTCCCTTATCTATACTATGTTATAGCCTTGTTTATTAGCTTTCCAACGCTTCGAACGGGGGTCCAAACGGCCTTACGGATCAAAAGTTACGTCCAAAACAATTTCGACCGAAAACATGAACAGTCGTGACGGACAACAAAACGCTGTTACGCTCCAGAACCTAAATCAACCCAAAAGTCCACACGATTTACTTCCCCAATGCCCCCAAAATATCCCTAAATCATCTCTAAGGTCTTACGGCGATAAAAACACAAAATCTATGGTTTATTAGGCCAATCTGGCAACATTTGCACTACCTAAAATACTATTTTCCTGCAATTGCTCTGAGTGCATCAGTTACTCACATTGAATATTTCTATTCCTACAGGGTCAAACATATCACAATCCAAGGTGTTGGCCACGAAGGCCTAAGGTTTCCCTTCTCATATCAATATTCAGTGTTACATACCGTTACCCCTAACCTCAAAGCCTTATCATCAAATTTCCTATTTTTCCATAACCAACCCAAAATACCTTAAATCACAAACCAACCATAAACACATCTAAAGGCATACATAGAAAATCATGAACAGTGATACTCCCCTTACCTTAGCCGATTCGCAGCTTTCACGATTAACTTCGGGATCTTAAGCTTTTGCCTCTACTTCTCCCTCCTCAGAGCTCTGGCCTCATTCTTTTCACGGTTAACCAAAAATGAATCCTCCACCTTCAGAATTCTATTTTGTCAAACTTAGACTTGGAGCACACAATTGAGTTTTTCCCATAATACCCTTACTAACTCTTCATAATGTCCAATTTACCCTTATTTCTCTTATATTTATTTTAATTCATAATAATATTAATAAATCCATATTACATACTATTATTCCAAAATAAATACTCCAATATGCATAATTCCTCAATAATTCTCAAAACCACCGAAAACACCCGAAACACCAAAAATACAAATATTTTCAATTAAATAAATTAATTAAAATATTCCGATTAAATTCAGAGTGTTACACTGTGTGTGAAAAGTAACAAAATAGACAAACATAATGTTTTGTTATTTTCAAAAAGTTTGTATTATATTTGTTGTCTTCGTACTTTACTGATTGATGGATTTTATTCGCTTCTTAACAATGATAATAACTACATACTTTTTCTCTTCCATAAATTCAAAATTTAACAATGCTTTGAAATAAGGCTACATTAAAAACCTAATTTAAAGATTCACACATTTAGCCTTGCTATAATGATTACCAAAATCAACTGAGTTACACTAGTATAAAGTACTATACTAGTAACTGAAAAATATCATAGTTATTCATTTTAATACTTTAATTCTAATATTCACTGGGTGATGGCGGTCGATTTATTCCCGAACTTTTGAAACTCTATTTGAGACTATGAGATGATCAAACATCATATTTTTTGCAATTTAGTTTTTAATCTGTAAGCGGATTTGTTGTCTCGTGCTTGTATTAAGTGTTTGTTTATTTGAATTACTTAGGGTTGAGTCTGTTTGTGTAATTTTGTCTCTTTCAATTGATTGCACTTTTGTTTAGAGTAAATAGATCATCGTCTTTGTATTTCTTCCATTTTGTTTAATATAATTTTTTGTTATATATATATATATATATATATATATATATATATATATATATATATATATATATATATATATATATATATATATATATATATATATATATATATATATAAAGTATTATATGTGAATGAAATTTTTAGGTGAGAACATGAGAATAAATCCGAACTATTAGATTTTAAAATAAATATTGAATATTATTTGTGATTTTTATTTTTCTCTTTTCTTAATTATTAAAATAAATGATGAAAAAAGAAAAAAAAAACTGAAATATAATCTCCGCCATTTATTTAACATCTAATAATTTGGATTTATTTTTATGTTTTCACATAAAAATTGCATTCAAATATAATACTTTTCATATATATATATATATATATATATATATATATATATATATATATATATATATATATATATATATATATATATATATATATATATATATATATATATATATATATATATATATATATATATATATATATATATATATATATATATATATATATATATATATATATATATATATATATATATATATATATATATATATATATATATTAAAAATGATGATATCCACGTAATTGTATTTAACCATTTACAATAGAAAGCAACCACAAACACATCATACCATCCATGCATTCAAATGATGATATCCACATTGCCAACAAATCTGCATCACTTCCTCACAATTATACAAATTATCATATACTGAATTTTACATGACATTAACGTTTATATTTTTTATTTTTCAAAAAATAAAAGAAAAAACCACTTAATAATTATCACAATACTAGTTTATTTGGAATAATGACTTCTTAATCACATTGCAAAACAAATGGCCTCTCAGTTCTTAAGGAGTGTCTCATCAGTCTTGTCCTCCCACTTGTTCAACCTCTTTCTTGATTCTTCAACCTGCAAATAAAGCATAGTTTGATTTATGTATTTCACCTAATGTTAACAAATGTATTAAGAAATTCATTACTAGAAGGTGTTTAAGTAATTTGAACCTCATTACTCCAATCTGTTCGAAATGTGGACCACACTAAAATAATTGTTTGCAAAACCGTCCCAGCTAACATTCCCAACCATATTCCCTATGTAAAAAAATCAACTTCAAAATCAATAATAAGAACTAAAAGCAACACTACAACATTTTTAACTTTAAGAAACAGCGACAGAGCGCAGCTAAAATACTAAAACATAATCTAAAACTTTAGGCAATGTTTTCCATCCGTGGGATATCTAACCATTGCCTATTCCTTTAAGCGGAGTTATTTTAATCTACCCACGGATTTTGAACACCGTTGTTTAAAATACGAATAGACCGTGATTAAAGATTCATTCATACCTTGGCACCAAATTTGAAATAGAATCCAAGAACAGAACCCAAAGGTATACCAATTCCATAATAACAACCAACATTTACATATGCAACAAAACTTTGCCATCCACATCCAACCGCCACCCCTGATAAGACAGGTTGAACGCCATTGAGGACAATGGAAAGGGCAAGGAGCGGACAAAGATCTGAGACAGCAGCAGAAACCTCTTCTCCGTCGGTAAAGACATAGCTAATGACATCTCTTAATGCAATCACCAAAAGCGCTATTATAACTGATATTATAAAAGAAATCACAGTCACCACCACCACAGAAAATGAGGCTGATTTTGGATTTCCTGCTCCTAATTCATTGCTCACTCTCACACTGCATCATTATCAACACAACAAGTTGGAAGTTTGAACCTCAAGAATGATGAATAGAATTCAAGAAATGTAAAAAATAAAAAAAATAAAAAAAAAGAATCAGACCTTGCAGCTGCGTTAAATCCAACTGAGATCATGAACGTCCATCCAGATACTGTGGTACTGCAATATATTTAAAGAAACACATTAGTTGATAATATACAAAAAGAAAGCATGAAATTTGCTTGAGAAATAAATAAACCATCAATTTATCTTCAAACAATCTGATGGGCTGAGGCCGATTTTCTAAGAATTTAATCGGCCTATATATGGTATCTCCCAATTTTTTAATATTTCCAAAATACCTTTTGCTAATATTTATCTAAAAGTTTTATTATTTTTTCAAAAAATTTCAATTTTTTTTACTTTAGAATTCAAAATTTTCGATAGGACGTTTGGAATTTTCGGTATATATTTTTGTGCAAATTTTGAAAATTCACGTGTATATACTGAAAATTTGTAAAAATCCGATGCAGAATACCGAAAATTTGGAAATATCTGCTATTTTATACTAGAAATTTGAAAATATCTGATATCTTATATTAGAAATTTGGGAATATCTAGTAACTTACACAAACTTTTCGTTACAATACTGAAAATTTTTCAAAACTTTCGATAACCAACAAAAAACTTTCGGAAATTTTACCGGAAATTTTGTCTATAACTGAAATTTCCGGTAACAGACCGGTAAGTAGAAAAATGCTTTCTTTGTGCAGTTCGGAGCCGGTAGGATCATCTACGAATTCGTGTAGCGATTGTACGCAGTTCTTCACAACAAACAAAATATGTTATCTATTTAACAAGTTTAAATTTAATATTTTCGTGGCCTTATATTATATTGTTAATATACTTTTTATGTGATGTAAACAAAAGATATTTGAGTGTCGAGCTGAAGTATTAGTCTGAGCACAACATATTAGCAAACAACATGGTATTATCGTTATAATTGTTTGTTCTGATACTGCAAATTGACAGCGAGGTAAGAAAGATAAACTGATTATGGGTTGTGAAGGAGGAGAAAATTATGAAAGAAAAAATACACCTGAAAACAGTCAATCTTCAAATGGCATTTATATTATGAAAGTGAGATGTCCTTTTAGGATGAGATCTTCGTCGAGTGGTATTGGTTGGAAGGTGATGGTTAGGTGTGAGTTTCACAATCATAAATTATCTGAGGATTTAGATGGCCATGACATATTAGTTCGTCTAAAAAATCATGAGAGATAGTTTGTGAATGATATGATGAAGTACAACATGTCTTCACGGTACAAAGTTTCTGCCTTGAAAGACAAAGATCCAGAAAACCTCACCAGTGTTACTCAAGTGTATAAAGCTAGAGCTACATACAATGCAAGCAAGAGAGGTACATTCAAGGAAATGCAAATATTGTTGACTCTTATTCATAGAGAAAAATATATGTGTTGGACAAGAAATAGGGAAAACTCAAATGTTGTTGTTGATATCTTCCGGACACATCCTGGTTCAATAAAATTGTTAAATATGTTTCACTTGGTGTTGATTTTTGATGTACATACAAAACAAATAGGTAATGTGCATCTTGATCATACCTTGATATCATTTCGACATACTTTGATTTATCAGATTTTTGATAATTTGAATCGTGAGTATACAGGTACCGGTTACCACTGCTTGAGATTATTGGTGTTACGTCAACAAAGTTGACATTTTCGGAAGAGTTTGCCTATTTGGAACATGAAAGAGAGGAGAACTTCACATGGGCACTGGAGAAGCTCAAAGAATTATTCTCTTTTGAGAAATTACTACAGAATGTTGTTGTGACAGACCGAGAACTTGTGTTGGTGAATGCAATTGAAGTTGTGTTTCCAAGTTCAACACATTTTCTATGTTCGTTACATATTACAAAAAACGTTAGCAAATACAAGCAAGGATCTAAAAAGGATAAAATGTATTGGTACAAACAAGGACATTTGTGGTTGCTTCATTAGAACTACACATGGGTTACCTTGTGCGTGTCAGCTTACTGCCTTCCAAATACAAGGCTTACCAGTTCCTTTTAACCAATTCATATTTTTTTGGAAGAAATTACACATTTAAGAGCATGTTAGAGGTCATGACAAAAGCGACACAAAGTTGGATTTAGAAGTAGAGTGTAAAGAGTTGAAGTCATATTTCAATTCTTTGGATATTGTAGGCCAGAGGGTGTTGAAGAAAAAGATTTGGGAACTAACACATCCATCCACAACTTCTATCACTACTACAGAAAATTCATTTAACAACGGTTGAGAAAGATGTATAATCATGCAGGCTCAGGCATTGTTATATAGAGTGTCATTGTATATATGATACTTACAATCGCGACTCAGTTGTAATAAACTGTAAAGTGCGCTACCTATAATCACGGTTATTTTAAATACCCGTTGTTGTATGTCTTTTAATAAAATTAAAAAAAATGCAGCATTGTAGAAGCACATTTCAATCTCAAGGTTTTGATGATGTCAACAAAGACTCAAGCTCATTCCATAATTGCAAGCAAAAAGTCAAAGCTTCCAAAACGGATCAAGATCAAGATTTCTTACACTATATACCCGTGGGGGTATATGTACTAAGAAGCTGCTTGCACTATATACCCGTGGGGGTATATACTCTGAAGATAAAACCAGAAGCATCATGTGCAAATGTTCTACAACTTTCAAGATTTGGACTCAAGCTCCGGCATATCATTTTTCACTCCTTTAATTGATATACAAGTGTTCAAATACTTATCATATTTTCATATTGCATTTGCATGGTTTTAAAATCTTTTGAATTGGTATAACACTTTTTAACTCAAGCATTTTTCTGAGTTTTAACAGTGTTAATCGATTAACCATATGGGTTAATCGGCTAACGGCCTTAATTTTTTGAATTCTTTGGGCCAACGTTCAAGTGTTAACCGATTAACCTATAGGGTTAACCGATTAACACTGAACGAATTTTGAAAAATTGTTGTTGTTAAAATTCAAATGTTGTTTGAATATTATACCTTTTCATGTTTTGAATCATGCTCAATTATACCTTTTTGAAATGGTGTTTTGCTCATATAAATTCTGAACATTTCAAATTGAAAAACAACCTCCAATAATTTTCAAAATATTCATTGAATCAAATTCACTACTTTTCAAATATTTTCAAATATTTTCAAAAAGTATTCATATTGTTCATACAATTTCATATCCAGTTTATGAACACTTGTATTGATATTGAAGAGTGGATTTTGATCAAAAGGAGAAGATCAATCATTAGATTGATATTATCATTGTATAACTTTGAAAATTACAAAAATACAAAGTTATTTCTATTGTGACTTGTGATCCAGGATTGTTGGACACAAGGGTTAGTGTTTGCAAGAAGATTGTTCTTGCTCACTAAGTTATTGATTAGTTGTTAGATTGTAGGCCTCACCGGTTGATGGTGTGATAGGTTGTACTTTCTAAAACTATAGTGAAAACTCTCTTTCATGTGGAAAAGGGAGTGGAGTACCTTCAGATTGTGAAGGGAACCACTATAAATCTCTGTGTCCATTTTTTCATTCTGCCTTTACTGCTTTCATCACCAAGAACTTAAAGAAGAAATTCAAGAACATCTAAGAACCGGAAAAAGTTTCTAAAGCCTAATTCACCCCCCCTCTTAGGCATACTCTGAACTTACAATTGCCATCAGAGCAGGTTAAGGTAATCTGTTCCTAACGATTCAGTATGGCTTCCGCTAGCACCAACCCGGTTTTCAAAGACGGTGGAAGTAGTAACAAACCACCATTATTCTATGGAGAATATTTCGATTTCTGGAAAATCAGAATGAAGGCGCATCTTGAAGCCCAAGGAGAAGGTATATGGGAAGCAATCGAAGAAGGACCACACAATCCAGTAAATGTGGTCAATGGCGTTAGAACCGCAAAGTTAAAAAGCACATATGGTGAAGACGATAAGAAAAAAATTCCTAATGAAAAGAAAGAAGTCAACATACTCCAAAGCGCTCTCAGTATGTACGAACTCTTCCGTGTATCACAGTGTAGATCGAAAAAAGAGATTTGGGACACCTTGGTAGAAACGCATGAAGGAACCGCTGAAGTAAAAAGATCAAGACTTAACACTTTAAGTCAAGAATATGAGATGTTCCGTATGCAGCCCGGTGAATCTATTGTTGTCTTACAAAAGAGATTCGTTCATCTAAAAAATCATTTAATTTCTCTCGGGAAGACCTTCACCAATGATGATCTCAACCTGAAAGTCCTAAGATCCTTGACAAGAGAATGGCAACCAAAGGTGACCGCTATTTCGGAAAAGAAGAGTCTCTCAATGATGACATCTGCATCCTTATTTGGCAAACTTCAAGAGCATGAATTGGAACTTGGAAGACTCGAATAGCACGAAAGTCAAGAAAAGAAGTCCAACGGAATTGCCTTGAAGATTGACACAAAGGATGACAAAGACGACGAAACTTCCGAAGATGAAAATTTCATGCTTCTTGTAAAGAAGCTTGGTAAGTTTTTTAATAATAATAAAAATTCCTCTTTTCCTAAAAAGAATAGACATTTCAGGAAAAAGGATGCATCCACATCGAATCAAGAAGTCACATGCTACGAATGTGGGAAGCAAGGTCACATAAAGCCGGATTTCCCGAAACTTGCAAAGAAAGGAGGAATCAAAGGCAAGAAGGATTTCAAAAATAAAAGGGCTTATGTTGCTTGCGGTGATAACGAGATAAGTTCATCATCAGAGTCAAAAAGCGATGAATGTGCAAATATGGCTCTTATGGCGTCACATCATTCCGATGAAGAAATTGATGAGGTTAGTAACGATTTTTCTATTTATGATAATGATGCACAAGAAGTCATAGATGAACTTCTAAAAGAATGCAAGACTTAGTATAAAAACATCTCATCCCAAAAGAAAAGAATTTCATTTTTAGAAGAACAAAATACTGCTTTTATAAAAAATATTGAAAATGAAAAACAAAAATTGGTGGATGAAAAACAAATTCTTGTATACAAAAATTGTGAATCCTTATCTTTTTAAATTGTTCAACTTAAAAGAGTTTTAGAAAGATACGAAAAAGGTCAAATTGGCTTGGAGGAAAT